CAAAGATCTCTGGGTGTTGAGGTAGATTGATTCCCAGTTTTCTGAGAAACTGCCATACTGATTTCCAATGTGGCTGTGAATGTTTGCTCTCCCACCAGCAGTGGGGGAGTGTTCCTCTTACTCCACATCCTCTTTAACATAATCTGTCCTCAGTACTTTTGATCTTAGCCATTCTGACAGGTGTAAGATGTTATCTCAGAGTCATTTTGATTGGCATTTCCCTGATGACTAAGGATGTTGAGCAATTCCTTAAATGTCTCTCAGCTATTTTAAATTCTTCTGTTGAGAATTTCTGTTTAGATCTGTATCCTATTTTTTAACTGGTTTGTTTTGGTATTCTGATAACTAGTTTGCTGAGTACTTTATGTGTTCTGGAGATAACTCTCTGACAGATGTAGGATTGGTGAAGATCTTTTCCCATTCTGTAGGCTGCCGTCTTGTCTTATTTTCTGTGTCCTTTGCCTTACAGACCTTTTCTTCTGGTCTTGAATTAGAATTCCATCTCTGCTAGCTATTAAATTCTCTGAAGTTAATTTCATCTTTCTTTTGTCCGTTTGCTCTTCTGGAACTGCCCTAGAGATCCTGTATATATCTTTGCCTTGACTACACATCGCTAGACTGAAGACTAGCATGGGAGTTGCCACACAATCCAACGTGAGAGTTTTCTCCCGAGGTTCTTCTTCAGCTATTCAGCTAGACTTGTCAAAGAAGAATCAATCACTTTGCTCTTATGACAATCTTTCTGCTTTCTTTTCCATCTCAATGAATGCATAGTTGCCCACACCAAAACCCTAGGTGTGGTCTTTATCTCTCTGTTTCTCCAAGTAAGATTGACTATTTGTAGTACCACTTCTCAAACATCTCCTGGCTTTAATTCTTATCTCTGCCCTGTTGTCACTACCTTGGTCCCATCCCCACTGTCTCACTTAGATTTTTTTTTTGTACCAGTGTTACTTTCTGTAATTTATTTTTCATAGTGTAGAAAGAATAATCTTTCTAAATCTACAAATATACATTTTTCTGTCAGAAATTTGTCAATACTGTCACATAATAAACATTCCTGGATTATAAAACAGTTATAGTCTGACCCCATTTGTTTTTCCACACAGTCCTTGTCCTCATACTCAAGCATTGGAATTCTTTGATTCCTTGTATATTGCAACACTTCCCCTTACTCCTGGACCAGCTTGTATCACTGTCCTATCCTTAAAGGATACCCACCCTTTGCCTTACCACTTGCTCTTCCACATTCATAACTTAATTTAAGTTTGTTCATCCCAGGAGCCTTTTCTCAACATCACATTCAGGCCAGGATATTTTCCAAAACACTCCTACTATCCTCTCCTAGTGCCTACTACTTATTTCTCTGATGCTTCTTGTTGCATCTTTTTTTTTATGGCTAGTTCTTTCATGGTAGAGACTATATCTGTCCTGATATTCTCTTATTAGCTTGTACCCAAAGAATCTCTCAACTTTCATTAGAGAAGCTTCACTTTGCAGTGCATTGTGATTGACATAGACACCTTCAACTAGATAAGGTGTAAAGGATGAGAGGCTGTAAAATGCTCAGCCATGAAAGGAACATTTACATAGCCCTCTTTCCTCTCAAGGTTTAGGGATCACTGGGGAAGAAGAGGCCAATACAAACAAGCAAACAAATAAAGAAGCAAAACAGAACCAGAGTTGATGACTACAAGGAAACAGCGTCTTCCACACACAGCAGGGCAGTCACACATATATAACAGCATACAACAGATCTGTACAAAGTCAAGGTGGACCAAATTTTAGTACAGAGAGGGCATATGGGCATGAAGTCTCACTGGTAGTGAAGAAACTATTGGTAATGGATAGTTTCTGGAAGAAGGAAAGTCAGTTTATTTTTAAGAGTGTAGCCTCTGGTAAGTTGATCACACTTCAGTGAAATGCCACATATCCAAGAACATTTGGGCATCACAATTTGTACTTGATGGGTTAAAGAAAAAAAGGCACAAAGTTTGGTGTGCAGAGAATAGGTGAAAATCGAAGGAGTTAGTGACAGAAGCACATATGATCAAAATATGTATGAACTTCTCAAAGAACTGATTATATATACATGGTAGACCTCTGATTATCTTTCAGTTTATTCTCTAACTCAGTACAGAAACAAGACAATATAGGTGTTTAAAAAGTTATCTAGGTAAATGGCTCTAAATGGAGTAACTTGATCATTGCCTTGTGTGTCAGTCAGTGCAAGCGGCAAATCTAGTGTGTGGAGGCCAGGAATGTTCTTTAAATTCCTCCAATGTACAAGGCTGCTTTCCAAACAGATGAATCACCTAGTGAGTTAGATATATCAATGCAGATTTTGAGAAAACCTGACCTAGATGAAATAGAAATACTGTGGGATAATATTCTTGTACACTGTAAAGACTTGTCACTCATATTAGTTTAATAAAACTCTGATTAACCAGTAGCCGGGTAGGAAGTATAGACAGAGTGACAAGACTAAGAGAATTTTGGGAAGAATAAAGGCTAAGATGCAGTCACCATCCAGAAGCAAAGGAAGCAAGATAAGAATGCCTTACTGAGAAGACATATCAAGTCACATGGCTTAATATAGATATGAATTATGGGTTAACTTAAGTTGTAAGAGCTAGTTAAGAATAAGCTTGAGCTAATAGGTTAAACAGTTTATAATTAATATGAGCTTCTGTGTGTTTCTTTGGGACTGGATGACTGCAGGACCAGGTGGGATAAAAACTTCTGTCAACAAATGGCACCCAAACATTTGGCAAGAATTTCCACATGAAACCTGAGAAAGCTTTTTTAAAATGCTAGACAGACAAGAACAGAGTCCAGAACAGCTTTTGGTAATCCTCTTTTCTCAAGTAGGCTCCGTTTTCTGGTGGCAAGCAGAGGTACAGCTCCTTTAAGAGAGTCTTCATGACTCAGTGATAATGGCAAAAAACCTCAGAGCTCTTTTAAGGGGCTCTGACACAAAACACTTAAATAGTTTTTATGAGCAGATGACATCAGGCTTCTTGGTGTTGGCATGCATCTTGAAACTCCATAGAGTTGTGACAATAAGCATGGCTCCTGCCAGTACCTCTGCAATGAAGCTAGACTTTTAGAAAGTTAAGTAATGGGGCAGAGCCAGCCACCAAAGCCACAGCTTTAATCCTAGCCATATCTCTTAGCAGATTAAAGACTCACATGGTCAGAAAAAAAATAGAAATATACAGTAAAGACAGATTCAGACAAAAGAGACCTCTAAATAGTTTACAGTGTGTTTACATATATACATAAGGTTGGAAGAGAAAAGAAAAAGGATAGAGAAAGTTCTTTCAAAAAAAAAAAAAGAAAAAGTATAGTTGATTGTGGTGGCACATGCCTTTAATACTGGCACTTGGGAGGCAGAAGCAGGCAGATATCTATTAGTTTGAGGCCAACCTGGTCTATAGAGTAAGTTCCAGGACAGCCAAAAGTACACAGAGAAATCTTGTCTCAAAAAACTAAACATTAAAAAATAAAAAAAAAAAAAAGACAAAGAAAAAGTCCAAATAAAGATGAAAAATACACAGAGAATCTGGATACTATATGTTATTGTGTTGCCATTGTTTGACTGCTGAAAAGGGAGCAACAGTTGCTAAGAGACATTTGATTATAAATGCTGTTGATTAATCCAATCTATATATTTGAAAATACCTTGATTTTGAAATTTATGTCAAAAGATATGTTACTTTAGAGAAGAGGGTTTGTTTTTATTTCTATAGAAAATGTGAGACTAGATTTATTCTGGGATAAGAAAAATAAGGTTTGATTAAGGAAGCCCCCCCCACCCAAAGAATCTCCAATGGGAACAGATTGCCCAGAGATCCAACACTTCAGAGCACTTCTGTTGCAGTTTCTTCTGAGCTCTGCATCCAGAACAGCTTTAAGGCTGCTGGCTGAGGTGATCCAGCTTCACAGAATACTCCAGGCAGGACTTGACCATAATCCTAAATTTTCTTTGAGTCCCCACAAGTTTACCAGTACCCTCAATCAGCAGGGGGCAGCCTAGAAAACTATGTCCACATTTCCCCAAAATGGATTATGGATGTTTGTATTTGTTTATCATGTTGGTTATAATTTTTTTATGGATAATGGTCAAGAAAAAGCTAAACAAAAAGAGATTGGATTCAGGTTTCTTGTTTTGAAAAGAAAAAAAGGGAAAATGCTGTGGGATAATGTTCTTGTACACTGTAAAGATTTGTCACTTGTATTGGTTTAATAAAATGCTGATTGGCCAGTAGCGAGGTAGGAAGTAAAGCTGGGGCAAGCAGACTAGGAGAATTCTAAAAAGAAGAAAGGCAGAGAGTCAGTCACCAGCCAGATAAAGAGGAAGTAAGATGAGAATGCCTCACTGAGAAAAGGAACCAAGCCACGTAGCTAAACATAGGCAAGAATTATGGGTTAGTTTAAGTTGTAAGAGCTAGTTAATTATAAACCTGAGCTAAGCTAATATGCCAAACAGTTTATAATTAATATAAGCCTCTGTGTATTTATTTGGGACTGGGCAGCTGTGGGATTGGGTGTAACAGAAATTTCAGTCTACAAGAAATGTCATATTTCACTCAGATACTTGTTCTTATTTTGGAGTATGGCACAAATGATGCTGAATCTAGAAAACCAGAAGACTAGCTCCTATGTGCACTTACTTTCATTGTTTTCTTTCGCATTGATTTGCTCATCATTAAAATGATCTTTCATCATATATGCTATGGAATTATCATATAAGTTAAGTATTATGTTGAGCAAGAAAGCTTAAATTCTGTTCCTGGCAGTTAATAATATTCTAGTAAATGTGAACAAACAAGGCCACAAATATACAGGGAGACAGAGATTAGTAACTGGATATGAATGAAATTTCTGCTGAATGGTTCTTGGACATGCCATCCTTTCTGGGTTCTGTACCTGAGTCACTGTTTTGGGGAAAGGTAGACAATGACGCAGATCCAGGGGGGGGGGGCAAACATACGTACTTTTTGTTCTTCTCGCTCTACAGCTGCGTTGCATTTTTCTATTCCCCAGCTTCTCATAAAGTCTCTGAGATAGCCAAATAAGGTTCCAATTCCATATCCCATGTAAGTCAAAACCAAGACATAAAGTGGTGGTTCTGGGTAGGACTCAAAGATGGGCTTATCAGAAAAACGTGGCTTCCTATTTTGCTGAAAATACCAAAGAAAATCCAAGGTTAACAATTTTTCATTAAAAACATATTATGATAGCTTTATTTGTCAACTTTTGATCATTAAAATTTAAAGAACACATTTAAAAGTAACGAATTACTTTAAAAATTTTGGAATTTGATAATTGATAAGGATAAAGAGAAGCATAAATTTGATTTACAATCCATAACAATATAGTTGATATAAGAAAACATTCTCAACAAATGATTTGGTGAAAAGTTATGAGTAATGAATGGGATGATTTTAAGATTCCAAAATGCAGCTCCATTAATTAATTCTTAATCATGAATTTAGACTCATTGCCTTACTCAAGTCATCTAAGTACATCTAAGAATAACCAGCCCTTTGTGCTCTTGTGAGGTAGCAATCCATGTTTAGTATTTCCTGTGAAACACTAACCCTGAAGACTGCCAATCATTTGTATGTTTCTATTAAAAGTAAAAAACAAACAAAAATCAAAATCAAAAAAGAGTTAACAGAATCTTTCTAGGTAAATCATATTATGCTATTTCAGCTGGAAATACCATTTTATCTTTGTCCTTATATGGTTTATAGATAAAACTCAGTTTAAATGTGTCTGTGAGGCAAACAAACACATTTTAGGACTTAATGTCACAGTGGAGAGACTTGACATCAAACTCTTTCAATTCTTGTAATATTGACTTGTTCACACTAGCTTTATTGATATTTGCTCAATGAAATAATGGATAAATAGTTTAGATACCAATAGTTTCATTATTATATCATTTCACTGGAAATACACAAATACTTTCTTAACAAATGAAACTAAAGTCAGTCAAACCTCTTAGTGGTTTTCTTTTTTTCTTTCAAGATGGCTCTATTTTTAAAAATTTGTTGAATTATTTTATGTGTATGAGTGTTTTGCTTGCATGAAGGTATCCACACCACCATGCATGTCTCATGACACTAGAAGCCAGAAGAGATCATTTGCCCTTCTGAAGCTGGAGTAGCAGATGCTTGGGAGCTGCCATGTGGTTTCTAGGAAGCGAGACCAGGTCCTCTGCAAGAGCATCAAATGCTTTTATTGTTGAGCTGTCTTTCTAGCTCAGAAAACATTTTCAAATCTAAAATTGAATTATGGTTTGCAAATATGAGATCTTTTCTGTATTCAAATAGACTAGCAATAATGTCTTTCCTAATGAGTTTTTTTCCTGAATATACTATTGTTGTATTCTGAGCCATGTTCCTCAGAATGACTTCAGAATAGGGGTTGTTTTCTATCTGAACTTTGATCAAATTTGGAATATACAGGATGTTGCACTATTGTAGGAGGATCCACCTCTACAGATGATTTCTTTTCCATTGATGTTGGCAACACTGTTGAGAGCAATTTTGCATGTAGTAGGACAACACAAAAGGAGATATGAAATCAGTAAACACAGCATTTCTTTTACAGTGCAATTGTAGTAATAGGAGCAGCGGGTCTGTGTCCCCAGCACCCCGGCCGCCTGGCTAGCTTATGCCCCGAAATAATTACACAGACACTGTATTCTTTTAAACACTGCTTGGCGCATTATATCTAGCCTCTTCTCGGCTAACTCTCACACCTGGACTAGCCCATTTCTAATGCACCCCAAGGTGCGCTTACTGGGAAGATTCTAGCCTACGTCCATCCTGGGTCGGAGCTTCATCATGTGTGCCTCAGAGAGGAGCTATGGAGTCTGTCTGAGGAGTCTTACCTTACTTCCTCTTCCTCCTAGCATTCTGTTCTGTTTACTCCTCCCACCTATGTTTTAACCTATCAGGGCCAAGCAGTTTCTTTATTGCTTAACCAATGAAATAAACAGATTGATATATGACACTCCCACATTATGCAATTACACAGCAGTATATGGGTGTGAAAGGTACAAATTATAATATAGTGAAATATGTAAATGTCACAAGGATGGCTCCAAGGGGATCATACTTTACTGAATGATCAGAAGTGGCTTCCTGAAGAAAGCTGAACTACAGGCCAGCACTGATGGGTAGTGGAAAAGAATGGCAGAGAAGGCAGCAATATAAGTCAGATTGCCTGGCTTCAAATCTGAGTCCTTTTATTTACTAATTGCATGACCTTGTATAAATCTTTTGATTTTTCTGGTTTTCAAGTGTCTCCAATTAAAAAAAATGAGGCTAATAATGTTTGTTTTGGAACTTAAATAATATCTGCAAATGACCTGTCATAGCACAATCACCCATTAGATGTCACAATAGCTCTCATGTTATCTCCTGGAGATAGATGATAGGTGAGAGTGTAAGAATAGGAGATGCTGAGAGATATATTTGGGAACAATGAAAAAAAAAACAAAATTTGCCTTGACAGATATCAATGCTTAGCATTCATAAGGCCCTGTAATTGCTCTTCAGTGCTCTGCACACACACACACACACACACACACACACACACGATATAAAATCAAGTGAATTCTATAGACTCTCCCACCCTTTGCAAGAAAAGTTACATTCAAGATGAGACAACCCATGGAACGTGCACACTTCATTCTGCTCCTCTATCAGGCCTTAAAAAGGAGAATGGATTTGACAATGAGGAACAAGGGAAAGTTTCAGACCATATTTACTCTACCAGGGCAGGAAGTCTAGCCATGAGATGCCCTTTGGGGTGGTAAAATGCCAGTGCAATCCCAGAGGGCTAGAGACAAGGGGAAGCTCACTGTTCTCCTTACAGTGGTATGCATGCAGCTTGGCACACTGTGACCGAATGCTGTCACTGAAGCTTTTCTTTAGAGAGAACACAGGAGTCATCTGTTTATATTATAGCAGCTGAGTGAGTTCTGAGCAGAAAAATGAACCACTGTGAATGACGTGGAATACAAAACTTTGTCAAAATATTTTCTGCTTTCAATATAGAAGCTATTTTCGTGTGTGTATGTGTTTGTGTGTGTGTATGTGTGTATCCATTTTCATAATAGTATTATTGGAATGCTATAGATTCTTTGAACAATTAAAATAGCATAATTGGTAAAAATAAATATTAAAATTTGAATTTACAAAGTATTTGGAAATTGAAAAGACATTGAAAAGATGTAATATTTATTCAAGATAATCTATGGGATAGCTTCAAAGACCAGCGAAAATCTCTAATCATAAACCATAGCCTATTCCCTTCTTATCTTCTTCACACTCTACCACTCAACATGAGAAAGTTTCCCTCTGAGCAGGTCTGGCTCTAGAGATTGAGTTTCCCTTTCCCTACTCCAGTTCTGAGCTGGGATGAGATGACTATCTGTCAACATTCTTATCTTGCTCCGGTGCTGCTGTACAGAGGCCAAATTCCATGCAATGTGCCTAAGAGATAAGAAGTTGTCTTTCTTCATTGGGGACACACTTTTAGGGTGGAGAGTACACTAAGGTTGGCTGGAAGTACAGCAGCCCCAAGATTTCCATGGAAGACGAGAAAAACCAAGATATCCAAAGATTACTGTGCCACCCAGAGAGCCCTGTCCCTAAAGCCTAGAGACACAGGAACTGTTCCACAGCTGGTTCTGAAACAATGACTTGTTAACTTTACTGAGGAGGAGAGTTTGACGATAAAAACATAAAATTTTCATACTTTAAATACTTGAATTTATTGGGAACAGAAAATAGGAGAATTTGGGGTGATGATATACTCCTGAAAAAAAAATTGAAGCTTCAGTGGCAAACAGTGTAGAAGAGACCAGGGACTCCAAAAATTACAAGTTGAACTGCCGGCATGAGTCGATCTTCCAGAGAGAACCAGGCAAGTGCATAGCTAAAACAGGCCCTTTCAGGATCAGACCAAACCTCAAAGGTTGACTTCAAAAACATACCCTTGAGAAAATCGTGATTCTGATCAAATCAGGTGATAGGGCAGCTTATGCCTTGTGGGGATATTAGTCAATAAAATAATTTCCCTGGAAGTATGGAGACTAGCAGCTGATATTGATACCCATTGAGAATGGTAGCTCACCAGAGTGATTTAGTAAAGACGATGCTAGGAGAAGCCTGTTTTAACTTCTGTCGCTCCAATGCAGATGAGAAGGAAGATATTGGCAGCGGTAGAGCTTCGTGTTCTGAGATGAGCGGTATTATGGAAGTAGCTTCATGAAGCTAATAAAGCAAGAAAACACAAAGATGCACAAGGCATACACACACACACAAAGACACACAAACACATGCATACAAACACATACACAAAGATACCACGTACACACAAAATCTTTGTGAGGGGATGATTTTTATGCAGAAGTATGAGAATATATTATTTTAAAGTTCATTTAGTGAAAAAAAACCCATGAGCTCAGTAAAGAAATAGGAAAACATAACCTATACAAAGAGTAAGTAAGGAAGACCTGGCAAGAGAAACTGTCCATGGGGATGACCCAGATGTTAGACTTAGCAAAGATGTCAATGCATCTTAGAAGAAAAAATAAAGCTCTTTGTGGGAAAAGCAAGTGATTTCAGACAGTTATTTAGAACCAATCCCCCCAAACAAAACAAGGGCAGAAAACAAAAGCAAATGTTGCCATAAAAATATGCATATCACAACTGTGTTCAAAATGTTAAAAGAAGACATGTTGAAAGAAATAAAAAAAGCATGATGACAGTGTTTCCCCAAATAAAGAGACTCAGTCAGGAAATAGGTATAAGATATTGGAACAACTGGGTATGGTGACATGTAATCCAGAACCTGGCAGACTGAAACAGAAGGACCGTGAGTTCAAGGCTAGTGATGGTTACCAGAGAAACTCTCTCAGAAAGATGCATAATAACTTGTGGAGGCCAAGGAATGCAAGTACATTCACCACTGTTGGGTCGGAGAGTTTGAAAGACTAATGGGCATAATTGTACCTTCTAACTCAGGAGGTGCCTGCCTGGCCCCTTTTGAAGTTAAGATAGTTTGGGGCCATCCTGACAGGTGGTCAAAATGTGCAAATATACTTCTGCTCCTTTTTTTTTTTTGTAACTATGAGGTCACCTGGGGAAGGGCTGTCTTT